AAAAACTACAGTTTTTTTTTCATATAGGTCATTCACCTCACAATCAAAAAGAAAAATACAAAAATTATTATAATAGTTTTACTTCTGGACTAAATAATAAAATGTGTAATCACTTTCATTAATCAAAGGTCGAGAGTCCCACTATTCTCAAAAAAAAAAACTAGGTGACTATATCTCCCTTAGAATTAAATATAACTAAGATGTTTGATCTGTTTAAAATCAAGTATGGAAATGATAAATTATCATATAAATCTTATTAAAACATTTAACACTAATTTTAATATTTCATTTCGGTACCCTAGGACTGACACTTGTTCAAAATGTGATGAGTTTAAAATTAAAATTGAAGCTATAAATATTAACTAAAATAATATCTTTTAACTCAGAATATAAAAGAACAATTAGATGAGATAGATTTACAACATTTACAACACCACAAAGATGTAGAAATGTTTTGTGTTAAAAAACAAAATGCTCAGTTCAGAGTGCAAAGGGGACAAATATTTCAGTTAATTATTTTTGATTTCCAAAAATATCTTAATTTACCAAATCAATTATTTTTTGAAAATATTTATGTCAAGTTCAATGTTATGATTTTTTAAACATTTAAACAAAATATAAACAAAAGCAAAAACAAAATATTTGATCTGTAGAGTTGTTTTGAAATTCATGTGCTGGTCAAAATAAAAACCATACATTAGTTATTAAAACTACATTTCCGGAACGCTGACATTCTTATATGTAATGCGATAATGATACGGGGTTAATTAATTTTAAAACACCCGCCTGTGTTCCATCAAATAGGATTAAAACATTCAGAAATGCTCATTAAAGACCCACTCCATTTTGTGTTGTAGAATTTTACGCAAAATATAGTAAAAAAAACTGATTTTGTAAGACCGTTTAATAAGAATAAGTGTCCGATTCCAAATTGTCCCTTAGTGAAACTTGTTTTAGAGTAGACTTAAGTGGCATTATATTTCATGGTTCATAGAATGGTTTATTGTTAAAAACAAATTAAAAAAAAACAGGAAGAATGTTACAAAAAGTGAAATCCAGATTTTAGATGACACAAAACTTTGCTTCTCCTTCGCGAAGTACAGAGACCTACAAATATTTAAAAATTTCACATCCAATACTAAATTGTATCATACTTTTCCTTTCAATCAAGAGGTTCCAATAAATACTTGTTTAAACATGAACAAATGAACATTTACTGGTAACTACCGCTTGATTTGCAATAAATACGAGTTGTCATACCTCTGTATCGACAAAGTTTGCAAAAGCTGCACTTTATCATCAACAACAACCCAGTTAACCAACCCAACTGGGTCCCAGCTGGGATCGACTGGGATTGAGCTGGGATTGGGTTCAAGCTGGGATTTTTTCTGGATGCCAGATGGATCTCATATGGTGTAAAAATAATGCCGCAAATAAAAAAATTTAACAATTAAAATCTGGGTTTTTACTGTGATTGGCACGTAAATGGATTACGGCTTGTTTGAAAATGGGACGCATGGTTTAATGGTAGCGTGTATTTTCTTATCCAAGCAGTTTTTTTATAATCGTTTTTATTAAAAAGTTTTGTTGAAATAAAATTACAAAACTCTTTTAAAATGTCATATGCAGTAATGCGGCTTGATTTAGATTGAATATACACTTGCATTTAGAGTAAATATACACAGGAACTTCATTTGGTTTTTTTATTGTACTTTTGTAAAAAAATATTTACATATCAGTTTTAACTCTATACTTAAAAGTGTAAATATGTTAAAATCAATATTTAGTCATCCATTTAAAAAACTATTTCACACACACAAAAAAAGAAAATATGACTTACTCTCAAATTTCTTAAATGCCCTGCATTTAAAAAACTTGAGAAATGAAACTTTATACTGAAATTCAGAGTGAATTTCTGAGCTATTAATAAGTTTGAGATATGTTAACGTTCACTTTTTTAGAATTGTTAAATTTTTTATTGAACTGAAGGCATATTCTGTAATTATGCAATTAACAAATGTTGAAAATTTTTTTAAATAGTTTATATGGTTTAGTGTGCTTAAAGTAATGGCTTAGTGTGTTTAGTTTTAATTATTTTTTCAAACTAATCTCATAGACTTTTTGAAAAACCTTTGAATTTGCTATGTTTTGTAAAATGACTTTGACAAGTTTTTTTTACAAAACATAGATAAGTTTTAATAAATGGTTTTATAAATAATTATGCATATATAAATAATATGTAAGTTTTACATATTTATAAAAAAAATTATTAAATCTAAGATTTTACATATCTTATAAGTGATATAATTAATATATTTCTCATAGTATAAGTAATATATTGTCAAATATATAACTTATAGAAAATGTTAAATCTTCCATTTATTTTATGCATTTACAAATGATATCTCAAGTTTTTATACAAATTAATATGTATTTCTGAAATATTTGGTATTACATTTCAAGATTGTTTGCAAATTGTACAAACTACTAATATTACATAAACATCTAATGATAATGATTAAAATAGTAATAGTAATAATAATAAAAATAATATTTATAATAATAATAACATGTTATTTTAACAATAGTAATAATAATATAGTAATTAAAATAATTTAAATAAATCGGTAAAATTTTCAATACAACAATTGTTCTTACATACAAAGCTACAATTACAAACATTAATAAACTGACAAAACGTCACAACTAACGATGACATAAAAACAACGACTGCTAAAAAAACTATAAAGATTTAGTAAATATATTTTTCTTATAATATAATAACCGAAATATATTGCAAATAATATGAAAAAGTAAATAAATAAAATATAAGCAGAAAAACTCTGAGAGAATGAAAACAAAACAAAAGTTACAACAAACATAACAAGCAAAACAAGATATTACGTTAAGTTCTTTTGGCAAAAAAAACAACATCAACAACAAGAAGAAAACAGCAATATAAATTAAAAATAATGAATAAATAAAAATAAAAAAAGTAATAATACACGGTAGAATAAAACATATATAATAAATGGTTGAAAAGAAAATAAAAACAAAAATTATATAACACTATAAAAAATTAGATATCACTATTTAAAAATAATTAATAACTAAAAAATAAAACAATAAATGACAAACAAAAAATAATAAGTAAATTTTTATAAATGGCAGTGTCACTTAGTGAAACCTTTCTAATAGTAATATTATCACTTTACAAAACATAGTAATACTATGTTTTGTAAAATGATAATATTTATAATTTGAGCTAAATTATAAATATTATAACTTAAGTTTTAATTTGTAGCATAAGGTTTTATATGAAAAAATATTTAATTAATTTATATTGCAAATTATTTGTAAATAAAAGTAATTAATAATAAAAATGATGAACTGTTCAGTTAACAACGACAACCAGGGTCCCAGCTGGGATGTAACTAGATTATTGGAACTGAGTTATGGCTGGGATTTGAACTGGGTAAAAGATGGGTCTCATGATCCAACGATTGCGGCAAAAATTATGCTTAAAAATATGATAAAATCTTTTAAAATGAGATATGCAGCAAGCTTGGTTGGGAAACGGGAGCGATCGCTCTCGAATACTGACCACGAAAATTATATTTAGTTAGCGAAAAACTGGCCAGGTTTTTTAGTCGTTTTGAGAACATTTAAGTTTATGTACGAAACAAAAAATTTTTGTTTTACGGACATACATGGAAGCATAAAAAATTTGAATGTTCTCAAAATTTCTTGGCGCGAAAGAATAAAAAGAATATTCGTGAACTCTATAAACCTGCCAAATTAACGAATAAACTAATTCTATTAATTCAAAAAATATGCTGACTAAGCGAAATAAAGTTCTCACGTGTTCTGTTGAAATATTTTAAAAAAATTGTATTATTCTCGATTTGTTACGTTTTGAGATTTCTAGCATAAATTGTTTTAAGAATATATATTATTTGTTTACAAAAATAAATGTTTTAAATATATAATAATTAAATTGTCAAAATTTTAAAAGTTTATGATAAATTATAGATTTTATTTGTATATTCTTACTTTTTATTTTAAAAATATGTGTTCTTTATGTAAATGTAATTTGATGTATCTGTTTTTTATCGTAATGTATCTTTTAAAGCAATTTTTATGATTTAAACAAAGAGTTACAAAAATATTTGCGTTTTCATAGAAGTTATAATCGTCAAAGTTATTAAAACTAATTATGTGACAAAAATATAAGAAGTTTCTGGTTACTAAACACAAACAATGCATACAAAGTAACTTGCGGATGAACAAGCACCGCGCCTGAGGTCACGACAGAACACAAATATTTAAAGCAAATAATTAGATATAAAGAAAAGTTTCTGGATATTGGTTTACTAACTCTAATTATTTTCGCTTAAGTTGCCATTCTTAAAACTCGTTATACTTTTTTCTGCTTTAAATACTAATTAAAATTAAAAAGCTCACTCACTAAACATCAGCGATATTGTAAAGCAGTTTCGCTACCTCGTCATAAAATATTTTTTAACGCTTTGATTGATTTCTATCTTGTTAATTTAATTTCTATAGTAATTCAATGATTTAATTATTTCATTTGTTTATCTTACTAAGAAGAATTGCTTCAAATATGTTAAACTTTTCAAACTACGCGAAACATAAAATAGGTATTAAAAAAATTAACTTTTTTATTTATAAAATAATTTAGCCTAAATAAAACTAAATCTTGCAAACTTTGTTAATTAAAGAATATTTGTTTCCTTTTTAAACAACCGTAAGTTGTTACTTTATATAAAAAATACCGCTTAATTTTATAAAAAAAATTAAGCGATGTTTCGATCTAAACGTAATTTATTTAGCTTTAAGTTTTTTCGCGTTTAAAGATATTTTATTTGCCTAATTTTTTTTTTTTTTGTAATTGTCTCTCATCGGTCCAATTAATCTTGTACGCTTTTTTTTTTTTTTTTAATGTTCTCAAAACGATTAAAAAATCTGGCCAGCTTTTCGCAACTAAATACTATTTACGTGGTCAGCAATCGAGAGCGATCGTTCCCGCTTCCCGACCAAGCCTGATGCAGTAAAGCAGATTGATTAGGATTGAATATACACTTGCATTTAAAGTGAACAGGAACTTAATTTGGTTATTTTTTAGTATATTTGTAAAAAATAATTGTTTACATATCAGTTTTAATTTATAACAAAAGTATAATTTTTTATAATTTTTTATTAAATACATTTTTAAATTCTTTAAAATATCAAAATGTATATATTTTGATGACAATACTCAGACATTTGTTTAATTTGGCTAGTCATTTGTTTAAGAAACAAGTTGGCTAGGGAAATGTTGAGTTTTAAGATATTTTTTAAATAATTATCACAGAATGTTATATAATTTTTTTAGATTATGTTGAGAAATAAATTAAATATACAATCATAAAATGCTATTCAAGTGCAATATAAAATTGAAAATGTAGATTTGATACTAAATATTGCAAAAACTGAATGTTTGAATAATCATGAATGTTTTGTATTTTTCGCTTGCTATAGTAAGTTAATTTCATTGTGTTATTATATGATATCATTTAGTCATATATAATATGTTTATTTACAAAGTTATAAAAAAGATATCAAATTTTTTTGGTAATACATTTTTTATTTATGTTATTTTTGTACTTTTGAACTTTATTAAATTTATTAAAGAGGTTCAATAGTATCTATGTTTTGTTGTTAGAGTTGGTTTGTGTTGATTTATGATTAACAACAGAAAATACAATACTTCAACAAACATTAGTTTTTTACACAAAAGTTATGAAAAATCTCCTTGAAATGGTTCATCTAAATCTAGTAAGTTTACACTTAATCTGACAACATTGTTTTGAATACTTTGTTTCAGAAAGTTCAGGAATGTTTTACTTTCCCCAAGTTTTAATATCTCAAACTGTTAGTTTACAGAATTTGATAAAATAAATAAAATGATTTCTGTATATTAAAAATATATAGAATTTCCAAAATATACAGGTTTTTCCTATTATTGACCTGGTCTTCTGTGAATGGATAAGTTCTAAGTTATATATGCATAATGATTTTTTAAACCAATTAGGGTGTTGCATATTTTTTAGAATCTGCTGTGAAATGAATTTAATTATATAAAATCACAAAATGTAGCTCTAAGACAACATGAAATTAAACAATAAATTTTGGTCCATGGTAATTGAAATACGTTATGTTTGACTAATCATAAATATAACTATTATATATATTAATATAAGTACTCTACGCTTGTTTATAATTGTAAATTTTCATGTGAAAATAATTTTAATACAAAATTTATTGTGGTCAAAACTGCAATTGTTTTTGTAACGACAAACTATGTGAGTAATTAATTGTCCTGCCCTGGGCCTCTACTTCGATCTGGCTATTGTTATAACAAGTATATCGATTTATATACTGTATTGAGTTACCTTGTGATTTGTACGTGTGTTTTTGTTTGCCTAGTGTTTGTTAGTTATATGGAAGATATGGCATGGTATGGCACACTGCATGGTATGCCCTTAATAATATTATCAACAAATATTTTTATCTATGTTTTGTAAATATATATGCTATAAATTATTATATTATTCAAATGTTTTTTTTTAATTTATAAAATTAGTGTAAAAGTGGATGAAAGCATTAAAGAAGCGTAACGATAAACTTTAAAGCAGAAATTTGTCATGCGATTATGGTGGCGATATGAGAGAACTAAAGTGGCAGTATATTACTATCGTAGAACAGTTTTGCATCAAATCATTGTATAATATTAGTTTTTGGTTGCTTAAAAATATTATGAAATTCAAATCTGTTTTTTCAATTGATTCGTAAAAATTATGTCAGACCAAATATTCATTTGCTTAATACATTTTATTGCCCTGACAGCGAATTTAATATAGATAATATAAATGACCTTTACTTTTATATAAAAAAATGCGACGCTTTTTAATCAAAAAATTGTCACATTATTTCGCAGATTCGAGATACAAAAAATCTGCGAAAAGCAAACTATAAAAAATTGATAAAACCCGCGGTAAATGAAAATAATATCTGGGTTCAATATGGGATTTCTCGTCAAAAACCCAGTTGGATCCCACTGACAGAATCGCAATGGGACCCATATGGGTCCCAGCATTTTTTCCCGTTGGAGTAGTTAATTGGGAAGTATTTCTAATTTGTACCAGCTCCAATACCCTTACAAGGTTGATATTGTATTATAAGGGCAAAGTTATTTAATAAAATAAAATCCTGCTTAATTTTATTTATAAGCTAATATTAAAAGTTATTAATTTAGCTTTTTACAAAATTTAAAAACACCTAAAGTCGTAATACCGGGGGAAGAAAAAAAAAAACTCCAAAAAATATTTCACTCGAAATGAAAGTATAAAATGAAAATTATTGCAGGTTAATTAGAAATACAACTTTAATTGTTAAAAAAAATATTTATTTTTGTATTAAAAAATTATATAGGTTTTTTAATTTTAAAATCGTTATCTCAAAATAGAAAAAATGTGATCGTGCCGTTTCTTCTCGTGGAGTCAGACTCGATTGATAAAAAAGAAAAACATTTCAACGTAAAATTTCTTTTCTGTTATTAAACTAAAAATAAGTTAAAAAAGATGAAAAGTGAAAGTGTTGAAACACACACATATGCGCGCGAGTTTGCACGCAAACTTATACATGCGCACATATAGTATCCTATTGCAAGATTTATTATGTTTCGCATTCTCACTAAAAACTAATTTATGATTGGATTAAAGCATCATGTTAATTTTAACAATACCGTAGAACGGGGTGACTTTGATACGCGGGGTGACTTTGATAATTTCGTCTGTTAGTTACAAAAATAATGATTTGAATGTGAAATTGCACAATTAGAGACTATTTTTTTTTTTATTCTTGTACATAATTATATTCTGCTAATATTTTTGAAATTTTAATGATTGTGAAGTGATTCTAAATTGTGCAAATGAGTTAGGAATAACATGACTATAACAAAAAAATAACGATTTTTACACGTACCAAAAAATGCCAAAAAATCTTGTGATTTTAATTTTTTTGAAATTTTTTTTTTCTAAAAATCTATACTTAGATGTTCAAGTGGTATTTTCCAGTTATAATACCACTGGAATATACCACATATATATGTTTTTTTTTTTTTTGGATATCTTTTTAATTTTGAATTGAGTTAACAACTAAAGGATATTATAAGTACTTAATATTTATATGCAATTAGTATTATTTTTTTGTTAGTGTTATTTTATAACTGCTAATTACTATAACAATGTTATTGATATATTATTTTTCTGTGTTTAGCATATTAACATCAAATTTATTTTTGTTTTTTCTTTGTCCATTCTGTAGATATATTCGATAACCAAACTTGTTGTCTAAATTTATAATTTTACCAGTAAATCTTATAAGTTTATTAATATGTTGTGTTCTAATTTAGTAAAAGTCAAAAAGAAAGTATTAGCGACACTGTAAAGAGGGTTAAATCAATAAGCCATTAAGAAATAATAGACTATCAAAGTCACCCCAAACGACGGGGTGAGATTGATAACATTTTGGATTAAAAATATATATATTAAGACAAAAAAAAATTAAAAATATTTAATGGAATTATATAAAAGAAAGGTATAATGTTATAACGGGAAAAAAAAAAATCAGAAAAAATTGTAATGAACCAGATTTATTTTGCAAAAATGCTCAAAATCCTAACAAAGTCACCCCGTTCTACGGTAACTATTATTATTTTATTTTTATTAATTTTTAAATTTATTTTTAAAAATAAAAATAAGGCAAAAATCAAAAAAATACTCTAATAGAAAATATTATTTGTTATTTAGTTAAAGTTTCGATTAGTTTTTGCTTTGAATTGATTGAGCGATGAAAGTGTTTTCTATATATATAGTTAACAAGAACTAATCAGAAACGATGCATTTTTTTTCAAGTTTAAACAGAACCTTAAACAAGAATAAGATAAACAATTACTTTAATAACATTTTAGTTTTTAACGTTAACAACTTTAACATGTTAACTTATAAAATGTTTAAAGAAAGGCTTATTCTTTTATTTTTGTTTTTTAAATATTATACTTATGCATTCTCTCCATTTTATACTTTCATCCAGATTTACGACCAAAAAACTTTAACGGTATTTTACTTTTTATTTAATTATTATGAATATAAAGAAATAAATAAAGATTAGAAACTTTCAACTGAATTTATTTATGAAGAACTTATTACACATAATGTAATAAGCTTTAATAATTTGACAGTTTGTTGGATTTAAACCATTGTGTTGGTTTATGAAGTTGTTTATTTACTATTTAAAATAAAATATTTATATCTTCATTATAGTTGCGAATAAACTATTAAAGCTTTTAAATGTTAGAAATTTATTTCAATTGTTCATGTAAAGAAAAAAATCTTGGAATTAATTCCTAAGGGAACACAGGTGATAGTCAATTTGTTTGTATTTCCACCATCAAATTAATTATATTTCCTATGAAACATGAAGTTTTTTAATCAAGCTGAGTTGGGATTTTTAATTTCATATTTTTAATGAATTTCAGAGATTAATCAGAAGAAATCTGGATTCAACTGTATTAAAAGGTTAACTAAGATCTATAAAAACACATATGGTAGCAAATTATATACTTTAGAGGACCTCGATTTATAACAATCCAATTTTTTTTCAAATAAATATATAAAATAAAATAAAATTGATAAAGGTATAGAATAAAGAGTCCAAGCTAGGTATATAGGATTTTTAATAGTAATAAAATAAACATTAAAATATCATGAGCATTTTATTGGCTAAAATAATAATCCACGTGTATCGACTAACTCACTCCAACTACATCCACAAACGGCAGTGAACTAAGTAAATGATAGAATGGGAGTCTTTAGCTATATTTACAGCACGATGTTGACTTAAACTAATTAAGTGAATACTAGAAATGCAACGACTAATTTAGAAAACTAAAAAAAAACATAAATAAAAAAGCAATACTCAGTAAGCACAAGACGTGTTTAACACGTGGTTAATGTTGGATTTCATTTTAAAGAAAGTTTAGCCTTTCTTTAATTTTTGTATTTTTTAATTTTTAGGCTAATTAAAGTTAGAAACATAATAAACTATGTTATATATATTATAGCTAATATTTCATTGTCGACCATAAGAAAATAGAAATATGTTAAGAAAATATAAATCGAATATTTAAAAAACTTTAAAGGATAGTTTATACTATTTGCATTTACCATTTATTCATTTTTCTGAAAAAGTAAAGAAAATAACTCTTTATTAAAGTAATGCTAAAAAAAAAAGGTATAAAAATCACTGTTGTTTTTAAATACAGCTTGTTCGTTTTTATCACTTTTTTTTTTTTTACATTTTTATCAACTCTGTCATCAGAATTGTTAGTGAGTTTGTTCAAATTTGGATATTATATAAATTAAGACATATTACATAAATCATGTTGCATATTATATAAATCATGTTAAATCAAGAGAAAAAAAAAACTATAAGCTACACCTATTATAAAAAAGATTCAAATATTCTACAGTAGTTAATCAATTAATGTTTATTACCTTTCGAACGCAATTGTACAAATTTCAAACCAACGTGCTTTCACTTTTAACCATGTTCCTTGAAGCGCATAAATATCACTATGGGATAATGGAACAATGATAGTATTAGCGAAAGAACAGTCCTCGATACTAATGTTTTCTGGTATCGTGGCACAAGTGTTTTTGCAAATATCATCAGAATCAGATTTAATTGACAACGTGCTTCCCATCTTCAATCCAAAATTTTTATGAATATCGTAGTATCTGGTTCTTGATAGATATGAAGTTTGATGAATATGGTGTTTGTCACTTATTATATAATTCTTTTTGTATACTTATTGTATAAGCTATTTGAATATTTGTATATGAATAGAGCTTTTTTGTATATGTATTTTGTATTTTGTTGCTTCAGTATGTTTTAATCTTAATTTATTGTAACTATTAGTTATATTTTTCTAAATAGAATTATAAAAAGTTTTCTAAAAAATTTAGTGAAAACATTTTTTATTTTCAAACTTTTATTTGACGCTAAATAATTAAATTAGAAGCACGCAAATAAAAAATGTTTAATGCAAGCATTTTACTTTAAAGGTAATAATGATTTAACGTCATCTGTTATCTATAGAAAAATGGTGATAAAATTTTAGATAGAATTCATTCTTATTTCTTTATACAACTAAAAGACCATTTATTTATGTTGCATATAAAAATAACTCACCATGTTGCATAAACAAAACAAGAATAAAGTAAAAAAGATGGTCGTTTATACATTTTAATCATTAATTTTGTTTAATGTTTTACTCTTCGTTTTTTTTTTTTTCTTTTCAAACACGACAACCCATGTTATTTCATATGCTGTTACACAGATGGAAATAAAATTTGTATAAATTATGACCGTTAATCAGAAAAATATGTTTCGTGTACCTTGTATCTTTTGCCGCTTGAACATCGGTGAACAAACAGGCTAGTGAATAATGAATAAAATTTTACTGAAATTACTGGGTATGAATACTTAATAAAAAATCACGAAACAATAAGCTATCGTGATACTCTTAATTTCATCTCATATCTCAATTTTTTGATTATTTTAAATTCTATTTCACTTCAGATAAATTAGGATAAAAGTAAAAAAAATTAAAGGAACTATAGTTACGTAGTTAATGTGCGCTATGGTTACCTAACAAAAGTTTCGAAGGGAAATTTTAATTTTATCTAAAAATAATATTGTATGCTGTACCACTGTTTCGTACCGCTGATGCGGTTATATCATATAAATATACAGCGGTATGGTAAAAAATCTTTATAGCGGTATTAGATATAAATAATCTATTTTTTCGATATCAAAATAATCTTGATTAAATAAAACAACTTACGTCACTTTGCGTAACTTACGCAATATTTCATTAAGCATTTGCATTTAATTTTACTTCAAAAATAAATGAAATCAAAATATTTGAACGGGGTGTTTTATTAAACATTTTCTTTATTTACATTTGTACTAACTTTCTTCTAAGACAAATTTGTAGACCAACTTTTAGAAAGCATCTATAAATTGCTTTGTAAACCGTCTGCTTAATTTTTACAATTGTTTTTTATTTCCATTTATTGAATTGTATTGATTCAAAATTGCACAAAAATAAATAAAATTTTGTTGGAAACAATACGTTTATCAAATCTTTTGACGTTTTTAATGTTATCTCACAAATAATGTATATCTTATGAAAATATAAATTTTTAAAATATCGCAATAAAATTTCTTTTTGTGGTTGTGCATTAGTATTGCATATCTATTGTGTACTCTATCGAATATTGAATTTAATATTTATTGCTCATAAAAAGCATTATTTAAAAAAGGAGGGGTTTTTAAATTGTAATCATAAAATCAAAAAGATAAAGTGATCACTTGTGTTGTCAAGAAAATCGGGAAAAATGATAAAAAAAATTTAAAAAAAAATCAAGAGCGCTCTTTACCTTTTTTAACATTTTTAGCTTTTAAACAAACAGTTTTGTTAATAATGTTGCAAACTTTTAAATATTTGAAAAACCTAATAAATAGAAATAAATAAAATTAATTTCAAAAGTTTTTGAAATTTTATTTCAATTGAATTCCCAGGAAAAAAAGTTCTATATAATTTTTTATAAACATTTGAAACATATGGCCTCATAGAAACTCTATAGAATTTCTATAGAATGTCTATTAATTTCTATAGAAATTGCTATAAAACTTTTTTTTTTATAAAAAAAAAAAAGTAGAAAAAAAAATTTCTGTATGAATTTTTATAGGTTAAGAGAAAATCTATAGAAATTCTATAAAATTCTATATAATTTCTATAGGCCATTTGTTTCAAAAGTTTATATAAAATTCTATAGAACTTTTTTTTATGGGTTGCTGATTATATAAGAAAAAGTTTAAACTAATGTTTTTTTTATAATTGTTCGTACCCCCTTCACTTATTTACAATTGGCATATTTATCGCAATTTATATATCAATCGCGGATGAAGAGCATGTTAAAATAAAAGTTTAAGAAATAGGTAAAAGGAAACCGCAGAATTTGTTAAAAAGACAAATCCTTTTAGCAAAAATTATACATTAAAGTTAATATCAAAAGATGTTTTAAATAAGTTTATGGAAACAAATTAGTAACTGCCCAAAGTTTTGATTATAAAACAACATTTTAATATCATTAAACATGTTGCGAGAATCTTTGGAGACAAAAATTAAGCTTTTACTTACGTAGGGGGAGGGTAAAGAAAATAAAGAAAATAGAAACGGAGGCGTGACTAAAGTACTAGATATTCATGAAGACATTTGGACGCTTAGGAAAAAAAAAACATAACTTTTATAAAAAAACGTTGGCTTCTTTAAAAACGTGTTTTAAAAAAGCCAATGAGGCTTCTTTTTTTATAGTGTACATTAGTTTATATTAAACATTTTTTGAAAATATTTTTAATGGCAGATAACAATTATCAGAGTAAGTTAAAGTATTTATGGTCATTATCTTAAGTTGGTCATTTTTACTTTATTTGAATAAAAATTTGTAACATCATAATTAAAAAGAAAATCTATATAGAAAAGAACTTCCTCTATTAAAAAAAATTAAACAATATTTTTGTTTGATAACATATTTGAGATGTTAAAAGCATTTAAAGTGCATCACTTTTAAAAAAATCATAATTTGCTTTAAAACTTCCTAAATTTTAGATAATAAATTAGCTTTGAATGTTTTAAAATTACGGACTAATAATGTTTTCTATTTTGAATCTGGTGGTAATATTTTTTTATTTTGTAATCTTAAAAAATAAGGAAGTTGTTTGATAAAAACTGAACTAAGGTAATATTCCGCTTAAGTCGCTCTTGTGTTTATTTCCTATCCCCAATTTCTCTAATAGATGAATATAACTTTTATTCTTATTACACTTGATTTTCTCCTCCTTTTTTATTATTCATTCTATAAAGATGAATAATAAGACATTTTCTGATTGATTAGAAAGGTGACCGACTTTAATAGAAAACGGATGAATCCGGTCAAATATAGCCCTTACTAAACTTTTTTTCAGAAATTTTGGCAGATGATTCTTTACACATGAACTTACAACAACTTTATTATTTATTTTTTTTAAAAAAAAAAGTCAAAATATATTCATGTATATGTATGTGACTAAATTTTATACAATTTAAACACTTAGTCATTTCAAGCAGTTCTTGAGTTTTTTTAGTATTCAAAGTCACATCTAAAAATAAAAAGCCATAGGCAAAAGGAAGTCAAAAGTCACTGAAACATGATTTTAAACGAAAAATGCGTAAAAATCGTTAGTAACAACCTATGTGTTGATTACAATTATATATCAATAATTTTGAGACTTTTTTTTTTTTTATTAATAATAATGAGACTTAATTTTTTTTACCACTGGTTTTGCAGTGAAACTATACCTTACCATTTTACAAGACTTGCTTCTTAAATTTAAACTGCAGGTATACTTAATTTTAGGTCATAAAGAGACTTTCTTCTATCTGCCTTGGTATGACAGTTATTTAATTCAAGTGGAGGCTGCAAATAAAAATGCTATAAATAAGTGTTCCAAATTTTAAGTCTAATCGATTATTTTTTTAAAGTATATCAGTAGCCAGTTTAAAAAACATGGTTTAAAAAAAAAATTTTTTTTTTTTTTTTAACAAAAACTTTCAATAAGTCTTTATGGAAACGCTCCCATATCAATAGTGTACGTTGCGGTTCTAAAAATAGGTTTGATAGATTATTTTGCAAAGCTCACTGGAGTCAAAATACGAAAAAAAAATTTACAAAATGTAAACAAAAGTAAAATCAATACAAGTTGTGAAAATCTATAAAAGTGCAATAAAACACTGTCGTTGGGGTTTATGCTTATCAAATTCTTACTACGTTGAAAGTTTACTAGCTGATTTATTTTTTAAGCTGTTTTGGATATTTTAAAATAGAAATTGAAAAAGTATTAAAAAAATTTTTTATTTAAAAAGTAAAAACTAAAGATGGATAAATCAGAAACAGATAAAAAAAAAAAAAAGAAAGTTACAACTCTAATTTTTTTAAAAAGTATCATCTAAGATATTAAGGTTACTTAGGTACTCCAAGAAAACCTGACGGCCTCGTTACTGAGCACCACAGTAAAATATTTAACTTGGAAGTTTTTGTTAATGTTTCTTATATGGCTAGAGTGATAATTGTATTTTGGATCTCTTAAAACTAAAGCAAGCGCTCAAACCCTTGCGCTACGGCTGATTTTTAAGTTAGTTTATTATTGGTTATAATCAATGAGCAAGGTTAGAACTCAAGTTCTTTGGATCTCCAAGCTCTTGAACAACTCAGCAAACTCCCCATACTTGTTCCAATGTATGGCCTATTATTGGTGCTATGACCGGCTCACCATTGGGAAACATGCATGGGCCAAGTCAAGTGTTGCTCACTTTTTAATGCATGGTCCATGCATGCAGCCTTTTTTTAGCCAGCGTTTAACCGTTGCTTCACCACTTCTTATTTTTATTTTGCTATTTTTTTTTTTCTTTTTTTACACATTGTTGTTTTTAATAATGACTTATACTTAAAAATATATGAGAACTTAAAAGGATGACTTATTAAAAAGCTGGAAAAATTAGTTAAAATAAGTCGACGTTTATCTACCGAAAAACTGGGATACATATAATAAAAATAGAACGTATCTTAAACTATAATATCTCCGTCAGTTTAGCAATACGGTTTAAATTAATAAACAATTTGTATTTCAATAAAAGTTCATTAGAGTACACTGTAAAAAAACTCCGTAGTATTAGACTTTTTCCGTTGTTATGTTACGGAAAAAATCCGTTTTCAATAAATTACACTCTTTTACCTTTACCTTAAAGACTTTTAAAATAATCATATCATTTTATATGATTTTTTCCGTATTTATGATAAGAAAAAGTTCTGCAACTTTAAAATACGGACTTTAACCGTTTTTTAGTATATTAGTATAGCCTAATTTACAGAGCACCATATTTCTTTTTC